ACACTTTTCTGTTCATTTGGAACATCTTCAGGTATCATAATTGCAATTATTAGTTTCTTACCTCATTCTGGACCACCGTGCCGCTCCGACTATACTGGCCTAGCATTGATAAATGAGTGACCAGCCACCATGTGAATCCTAGAGGGTCCTTACAGTGTGTGGGGAGGCCACTGAACTGCTCAGCAGCAGGTTTTCCTAAAACCAGAGGCCTCAGCAACGAGTTGATGTAGTTCCAGAAAGACTAAAGGGAGCAGACATTAGTTAAATACTGTCAGAATCAAAGTTTACTGTGTGACAGAACATGCATGTATGTGTGTTACCTGTGTGTGCAACGCTTTATTCCTGTGTTCCAGAAGGTACATGAGCAGGACCCACAACTCTTTGGTGCAGGTGCAAAGGTAATGATGGCTGCTCAGCGCCTCTGTAGGCCTCACCTACAAATAAACAGGATCAATTAAACACAGTGAGTTGCCAACTAAAGCTTTATTCTACACTAAAATGTTTTTTGTTGCACGTTGCGATGCCTTCTATGTGCAGCTTCGATCCAGTTTTCGCTAACCAACTACAAAATGTGCCAATTATATGAGAAACACTTAGAATTTTAGCTTAAAAACATAACTCTGAAATACCACTGCTGCATCTAGTGAGATGAAATGAACCACCCACCTTGCTGTATTTGCCCATGGCCAGTCCAGTAAGGTCACACAGCAGACTGCACAGGTGTTCGTCAAACAGGCTGCTATCAGTCAGGTTCTCTCCCGTCAGGTCCACAAACTTGTGGGCGTACACCACCTGGCCTGAAGACAGAATGAGTAAAATTACAAAGAGCCTGTTTCCATCATAATTCAATAGCTCTTTAGTTATTTCCTAGGTGAGAATTCTGCTGCAAACACAAACCCTGCATCTTGTGACCAAGTAGGTGAAGGATCACCAAAACTGACCAATGGATGTCTAGATGAAGGTGTAGCAAATGCCAGGAGGGAGGTAAAATCTGTAAAAGGAACACAGATTTCTCATTTTAATGTGAAAAGAAGAAAAATCAGCTGGGTGATAAAACTGTAGTCATAAAACCTAATGCTCAGTTGATAATATATAGCCTTTGTACTCTGGTATGCCAGCCCCACATTGTCTGCATCTGTTTTAAATACTGTCTTTGGGTTGTTGTTTTTTTCTTCGGTTTTTTAGCTCCCTAACACCTTTGTAATCAATGCCTTACATTAAATCTCTACTCAAGTTAGATCTAAACAAACCAACTAGCGTTTGGCCGTACCTTTCCGTGATTCTGTATAGTAAAGGCACTTTGAACATTAGCAGGCATGTCTTTGAGTCGTCCTACGAGGAGAGTGATCCCAAAAAGTTCCTCCAAAAGAGCAGAGGGGAACTGAGCCTCCAGCTCCTCGTAAGGGTGTGACTGACCTGCATCCAGGGACCTGGAAGGCTGGAGATATCTGAACATATGCAAAAGGGGTATCCAATCAAACATTCAAATAAACAAAAACTCCATGACACCATAATATATTAACATGTTTTTATTAGTTCCAGTGTGACATGAAAATGTGTTAAAATTACCTGTGTAGAAAGACTTTGACATACTGAAGAAATGTAACACATTCTTGCCGGAGTTCTTCTGCTTTATAGTGGAGATTTCCAGCTTGACCTAAAACATCAAAAGGGTGCTGTAGGTAGTACTCATAATATGTCTACTGTATTAGAGATCAGATCACTGTGAAAATGACTATTGTACAGCTCATATATACATATCAAATACATTCAAATTGTTCATAAAAAATATATATAGAAAACAACTCTCTAGAAATTATGGGATTTAATTTGCAGAATAATTATTTTTATTTATTATGGACATTTCATTCTTTAACCCTCTCAAGGCAGGCGTTGCCGATTTGCAACAGTTAAAAACTAACAACCTAATTACCCCACATACATATTTTATGAGTTTGTTTTACTCAGAAGTACCACTGCAGGACTTGGTTGTGCATTAGCAACAAAAAGTTTAATTTGAGCCTGAGAGGGTTAACATATTTGAAGCCCTCGGTAATTCCTACACTTACTTCACTTGATTTAACTATTTTTTATCACTCTCCTACAAGCTGATCAGACCATTTTCTGTCCCCACATAATATGCCTTAACTAGGATTAAAAAACTGATCCAAGTTCCAAAGGGGTTGACAGAACCTGCACAAAAATATGTTTCAAATCCTTTTTCTGCTAATTATATAAACAAGCAATGCACATAAACAACCTGTATATCTAACTAATACACAAACTATGCCTATGTAAGCAAACAGTGGCTTACTGTGCGAACAAAATACTGACAATAAACTAAAAGACTGTTAGTTGAACTAATGATTACACAGACTTACCAAAGTCATTTGAGTTGGACTTAACTAAAGTCTCCAACTTGTAAATCCGTTGTCTGAAACATAACACAGAACAGAAGAGTAAATGGATATGAAGGATGTCTTTTTCAATAATGTATCAGGAATATATATGAAATATTTTAAAGAATGATTTCATGACCACACTTTTGCTGCCGTGGAAAAGAATTAAGTGGTAGAAACAACAAATTTTAACTCTTTCCTTTATAAAGATGGTATCTGATGACTTCCCATAACAACATGTTTTGTTGCTTCATTACATATCAGCAAAGGTTTTCACAATGATTAGAATAGTATCAGGGTTTTTCCAAAGGTAGCTGCATAGGCAAAGATCACCCTCACTAACACTCGATACACACCCAGTCATTTCTATAAGAAGGCGTCAAACAACCGCTCAGTTCAGAAGAGAGCTCCTAGGTTAATTCTAATAGGCTTTCAAAGGGTAAAGAGTTAAAGCAGACTGAAATAACGTATGCTTTACATCATGCCTTACCTGAAGAGGCCAAACAGTAGTTTTGTAGATTCCACCAGTGCTGTCTCTGTCACCCAGGAGAAGCCAAAGATGTCCACTGTGTCCGTCTCATATTCTGCAGGGGCTGGGTCAAGACGCAAGAGTAGCCTGGAGTGGATGCAATGACAGCAGTGAGACTTTAAATCTTTTCTCCTAGTGGAACTTTTGCTGCTATAACATCACAAGGGAGGTAAATGGAATTACATTTGAGGTGTTATAAGTACATAAAAAACTGACCTCTGAATAAATTACACAGAAAAATGACCCGATTTTCCAAGACTGTTCTTACTGACAGCATTTCTCAGGCACAAAATAGTGCCAGACAATTTTTTACGATTACAGTCAGCTGGTAGAAGGTAATTATACCGTTTCAAGGAGCCTCTAACAACGTATCCCTCTGTGGAAAGTACTCCAGCGGGATCATCTTTTACATCAGAGCAGCAGAAGCACGGTGGTCGAACTGAAGCCAGGTCACATAGACTGTCTCCTGCAAATGGGGAAACTGGCGGGGTGAGGGACTGGCTGAAGTCATCTGACATGGTGTCAGTGCAGAATCAATTTCACCTGAAATGACCAAAAAAAAGAAGAAAAAAAAAGAAATCACAGCGCAAAATACTGAGAGAATGCTTTTTTGTCAGTGGTTTGCAAAACTGTGTTCATATGTAAATATTCAACAAGTTATTCACAATTATACTGGGATGATGTATAATTTAATACTACATATAATTTAAACAAAAGGGTTTCACAGCAATATTTTAGCATTTTAATTTGTAAGTACAAATGTACCTTACAGTACATTTGTATTTACATACAAGTACTGGTACTCAACGCAGAGCATACAAAACTACATCTAATTTTGCAGAGTTGTGCAAAATTAGATGTAGTTTTAAAGAAAATATGAGCAGAAAGCAGGGAAAAAATATCTTTGGAGCAACATAAATGATTTTATTGAATGTATAAGTGACAGGCATGTATGTTATTGCATATAGCTAGCCAACGAACAAGTACTTCACAATGGATCCGACATGAGAGTATATAAAATATATATATATATTTCATAGAAGTTACGAAGTGCAAATTTAACACTTTAACGTATCTACATTATACGCTTTATGCACGATAATGCTAGCGTTAACTGCGCTATTTTTCTAGCATACGTTGTGCCGACACGACAGCACAGTTAAGTCAAACAAAACTAATTTTAACAGGCAAACTAAAGACAGAAAAGCCTCCAAAAACATCTGTTAATGAAATATGAACTAACCTGTTAGTTCGGCTTCTTGTACAGTATAGTAGTTTGTGAATTTTACTTCCCAGTATTCATCGCTGTTTGTGTTTTCAGCCGGTCCCGCGCGCTCACACTACGCAGGCGCACACTCGCTCCACGCCCGATCATTGGTCCGAAGTTTCCTACTGGGAGGAGCCTAATCCTTTGACAGACACACAACAAGAGGTCTCACTGCTAAGCGCTTCCTCCGTCGCAATGTCTGTCCGGGCAGCTTTTAAGATATTTAGAATTGTAGTCGTTTTATAGTCGGCTCAGCAGCTGTATTTATCGTGAGTTGTATTAAAGAGCAACCTGAACTTCCTCTGTATACCACTAACAGCGCTGAGCTCTCTCATTAAACAAATAAAATAATTAAATTCAGTTTCTTCTCGGTCTTTGTTAAGACATACACGCTAACTTGAAATTAAGTTTACATAAAGGATGTTAAATACAGACTCGGGAAAACAATACTATGTGGATATATGAAAAAATATTTAAACCATTATCGTCATAGCATGTATGTGCGTACACAGTTGCTCACAAAAAAGCACTGAACCAAAGCACCTGTTCCGTGCCGTGACTTTTCCCTGGGATTTGTCAAGTCACTTGTCCCCCTCGGTCCCACTGTCGGGGTTCCGCCCAAATGAATACAAAATAATGGACTGTATGAAAAACAATTTAAAGCAGGCTAACCCTAATTTCCATATGCAGATCTGTCTCTCCCAACAGTCCCTCTCGCCATCACACCATTTCTTGCATTCTAATGCATTCTCACATCTTTACAAAATCCCCCCTTCCGCCACACGCCGTGGATGTGCTCGTTTTGCCGACTTACAAAATCGTTATTTCTGCACGTTTGACTTGTTCTGTGAGAAGGTGCTCTGTAGATGCGGTGTTTTGCATGCTCTAATTTGCATCTTTTATTACGAGGAGTAAAAAAAATGGACGCGTCGGAATTCTTCTTTTTTCTCCACGATGCATCGACCTGCCGTTCTGCTTTCAACAGAAGGCAGTCCGTCTGTCTAAGGGCCCTGTCGCCTGGATGGGAAAGGTAAAAGCTTTCTTTTCTTCCACCCAGTTCCTTCTCTACAAACCCATTCTATCCTTTCCCAGCACCGTGTTGCATGGAGGGAGTGAGAGTTGAACCCCCACTCCCTCCTCCCGTCTTTCTCAGATGTAGCCTCGTTTCCAGGCTTTGATGCACTGGACCAGGTTGGGTGGTTTTTTTTCAGTTTTTTGTGTTTTTTGCTGTGTCTGTGTGTGTGTGTGTGTGTGGGGGGGGGGGGTGTCACTAAAATTCAAGACCCGAGGCTAACAATGTGAGAACCTTAAACTATACTCACATCAGTTCTCTGGATGCATTCATTAATCCACATCATCCTCAGTTAATAGCAGCAAACTATGAAAAAGGTTTGGTGCTTGTAATGGATGCAGTGGGACATTATTATGTTAAGGTGATAACCTGGTGTTGTAATTACCTGCAGCCTTTTGAAGCTTCCAGATAGACTTAATGAACTGTGTGTAAAGGAGAGAACACCGTTGCCAACATATGGATAACTACAGGCAGACTGCTACAGAGGCAACTGGAAGCAACATCTGCTGAAAATGTTCCACACTGTAAAACGAAATAATGGCCATAGCCATGCAGCACTACAGGTGTCCCCCATTTATGTCTGACTAGCCCCCATGCATGATGTAGCTGGGGGGAGCTATGCTGATAATATAGGTGTTTTTTTTTCATTAGTCAACGTTTTTAATATAATGAGGAAAAGTAAAAACCTGTCATTAATATTATTGATTGTTTAGTTCTGTTTGCGACTCCTTTCATAAAAAGGTGAACAGAATGCAATAATTTCCAATTTGCCCAAAACTATATTTCATTTTTTAAATACACAAAAGGTATATTAAACATTTAAATGTTGAAATCTATGGTAATTTTCATGATTCCAAAAAAAGTTGCAAAATAGTTTGGACAAGGCCATGTGCTCCATTAACTGCTCTTTGTTTGGGAACTAAGGAGACCAGCTGCTGTAGTTTTCATTTAACCATCCATCCATCTAACCACTTTTTCAAGTTCAGGGTCATAATGAACCTGGAGTATATCCTGACTGTGCATGCTGGACAGGATGCCAGTCCATCACAGAATCAGAGTAGCCCCCTTTGTAGTTGTACAAGTAAAATATTTTTCCATCCTTGCTTGATACATGATTTTAGGCACTCAAATGTTTTGGACTTCCTCTGCAGGATTTTTAATTTCATAGGAAACCAGTTATTTTCACCTGGACTCCTTTACTACCGATCTCCGTACAGAATGCTGTCTGGTTATGTCTTGCTGAAATAAATAAGACCTTCTGTAAGTAAGACATTGTCCGGATGCCAACATACGGTGCTCCATGTCTTTTACAGATTATGCACGTTACCCATGACATATGAACTAATGCTCCTCTGTGCTGTCACTGCATATCGATAACCCTGTCCCATTTAGCGATGTGTGTTTCTGAGGACATTTCCACTTCTCAGTCATGTCTGGTTGATTTATCACAAGGTTCATGTTGGCCAGTATTGGCCATTAGCTGATCATTAGCTTGTACTGGTTGAAAAACAAAGAAGAGGTAGGAGAAAAACGCTTCAACCATATTATGAGTGTTGACGCTGCATATTTTTTTGACACTTGCAACTTCCCTTTGGCAAGATAAGTGTTTGAAACGGGGAAACCAACAGCCAGCTGATCAGAGCAGAGTCTGGAAGAGTCTAAATGAGTACACGAATAACTAGACAGATGTTTTGGAAATATGTTTATATTTTGAATGCCTGAAATAATATTGGATATATTAGAAAACAGTTTTGTTTTGTTTTTTTTGTATCCCACCAAATATTGGTATCGGCATCAGTCTGCAAAATCAGCGTCGGTCTTTAAAATCCTGTATCGGTAGGGCTTTAGTTTGTTTTTAATGTCCAGAGTTCATCAGTTTCTTTGACCTTGTATATAGCAATTCTTCTGAATTCTTTGATAGTGCTCTTATTTTCCAAACTATGTTGAGAAACATTATTATAACATTAAACTGTTGAAGTATCTGCCTCCACAGTATTTGTTTGTCAGTGATAAAAATGCAGCACCCGTCCACAAACGCACTACAAGGTCAGAAGTTACGGTCAGCTGCAGTTCAGCTGCTCCAGGGGTTTAAGTCTTGCTCAAGGACTCCTTATATTACAGCCTGGCATTTGCTAAACACTGGAAAATTGCTAGCCTGCCTCTCTCCACGGACAACAAAATCTGTCCAATATGACTTGTAAAGCTTTACAAGTCTGTTTTATCCACATGAACTTAAGATTCTGGAGTATTTTCAGGGCAATGTACAAAAAGAGGAAAAATATTTAATAACGTTTGCATATGTGTTGCCATTTTGCTGATGGCTCGAGATGGGGTTGATTATTCTGGCTCAGTTTTTATTGCGTTTGTTCTCTTGACTCATGACAGAAAGAACATTATTCTACTGTAAACCCATTGTAAAATTGAGACATTGCCCCCCCCCTCGCTCTCTACCAACATGTCCCCTGGGCAATATTACTATGGTAATTTACTAATGTTAAACACTCTAAGTAGACATGGTGTTTAAGTCTGACCTTAAAACGGCCATCTAAAAAGTTTGGTTGGAGCGATAATGTGGACATTGTGAAATAATATTATCCTGTGACCAGTAGTTTGACCTCGGAAAATCATGAACAGTTTTACCATTAACGCCTTCTCTTTAAGGAGGGTAGTCAGAGGACTGTAATGACTTTGCATAATGAGTTACACTTTTTTCCCCTCATTGGGTCTGCTTTCTAAAAGATCTCTGTATTGTACAGGAGAGAGTGCTAGTCTCTTTTATCTCTAGAAAAAAAAAAACCTTGTGGCTACAGTTTGATCAATTAAACTCCTGAAAGGACCCCCCTCCTCCCTTTCTTTCCTCTGCCTGAGAGGAATATAAAGTTATCAGTCTTCCCAAGCGATATGAGGACGGAAATAAGTAGTTTGTCTATAAAAATGTCCAGGTACTTTATCAGCGTCCCAGTAGGCCCCGAGGCCCTGACACTGTTCAATGTGGCTCCCCCTGTACTCCAGTCTCACATGCGCCCTCTTTTTTTTCCCTCCTCCCTCTCTCCCTGTCTACTTCGTCTCTGCCCAGGGCTGGTTACTCGTTGGGTGGGGTGTTCGCTCCCGGCCCCGCACCTCAGTGGGATTGACTGGGGCTCGAGCCCCAAGTGAGGTTATCGATTTCAATCAGTGGCTCGGGAGATAGGAGCTGAATGATGCTGCAGACTTTAAACAGTGGTCAGCTGCATTGTTTGTTGTTTGGGGTGGGGGCGAAAAACGCTGCAGGAGGAGGCACTTTGACGAGGAGTCAGATAAACACACAAACAGAATCACTCATAGAAGGAGACGTCTTAATCGTCTGGTTCAGAGTTTTGCTGCATCTTAGCGGGTGCATTTCTCAAAGTAAAGAGGCTGAAAGAATTGATGAAGAAGTAGAACGATTTTTTTCAACCACAGATGCTGCACATTAACACAATTAGATACGGGCACTGCAAGTGATAACGTTGGATTATTGTTTTTGCGCATAAAACAAATCATTGTTAAGAATTCCCATCACGATTCTCAAGAAGGGATTTAAAAGAACCGTTTGTTTTGTTCATCAGGCTTCCAAAAAGTCAGATATATTTTGTTCTATGTCTTGCGTGCACTATTTTTAAGCATTGTTTGCATAACGCATGGCTTAAAATGACGCCTCCTTACTCAACTAGTCGCTTGTATAATAGGAGCAGCTGTATTTAGAAGCATCCTTTTAGAGTTTAGGAGCTGTTTGCACGGGCAGCAGACATACGCGCTGGAAACAGCACTTTGCCTGATTGCGTTTCTAATTGCATTTAATGTAAGCTAATGTATGAAACTGAAAAATGGCCAACTTGGCAGATCAACAGTAAATGTTGATTGTGTAATGTGGTGAAAGGACAGGGAGTTTAAGCAATTAATATTCTTCAACGTGGCATTCGTTCAGCAGTACATCGGCTGTTTTACTTTTTCAGTAGATGCTGTTCAAGAGCAACGTGGCAACTTTTTTTTTTGTTCCATCATTGTTCACAGGAAAAGTACGAGCATAAAGACAGACTGATAAAGTTCCTGTTTTGCTTAAAGAGGGAAGTTAGTTCACGCAATGAGGGCACTGCAGTGTTTTCTGCTCTCAGAAGCATTTGCATCAAGGCCAGGAGATTAAACGTGTGGGTTGGGAACTGGAGAGAGTGTGTTGTCTCGCTTGGGGCCCCCGATGCCAGAGTTCTAGCTTTCATCGCACAGGGTGAAAGATAACTCCTGGACGTTTCACTCTGTGTGGCTACAGGTGGGTGGTTCACATGCTGTAGGTGGCAGCCTCGGTGGAATTCACGCAGAAGTACAGAGGAGGTGGCTGTGGGCAAATTGTTTCACAATTGCCAATGTTCAATACTCTGTACTGAGATGCAGAATCCTACACTGTGTCAACTCATTTGTGTAGTTAGATGGTATTTGAAGTGTTATGGTAATATGTAAAAAAAGAAAAGAAAAAAGTAGGTGTTTGGGTTTGTTTTGTTGCATGTATATAATTGCGGATTTTAGGTATCACAAAGATCCAGTGAAGTGCACGGGTACGCGAAATAACCTTAGGTGGCATTTTGAAAGAGAAAAATGATGCCCGACATTAAAGGGCGGAAACAACTTTTTGATCAAATAATTAGTGGGCTTGTCAAAAATGTACTCTGTCATTTGTGCTTTCAAAATGACACCAAAAACAGATACACAAATACAATCTGATTATTTGGAGGTTTGACTGTTCCCCAGTATGTTGTGCTTTAACATGTCATTGAAGACTTCAGGCAAGGTGTCTGCTTGAGACATTATGTAATGTAGCACTCTGGGCTGATCCCTACACAGTGCACTAAAACATGCATAATTTCCAAGAGTTTTTAGTGTATATATATATATATATATATATATGTATTGGGGAAAAAAGAAAATATGGATCTAATTCTCACAGATATTCTCGTTAAAGGCTCCATGTTCACTGCGTTTGTGCTGGTGCTGGGCTGCCTGCTGCAGAGGAACCTAGTGACCACAGAGGGGCACCGTGGGACCAACTGCCTCATCTTCTATGCAGTGCAAATGGACGGAGGCACCAGAGCTGCCAAAGCTCTGGCTGAGCAGCATGGACTGGAGTTCGTACAACGGGTCAGTGCATGTTTAAAATCTCTTTGTTACTCCAACCTCAGGGCCTGCAATTTACATTTTCTAAATCTGGATTCTAAGATTTCTTTTATTTTGTTTTATTTAAGAGCTGCCAACGAGCTGACTTCTATTTCCTATTTGAGGGATATCTGACTTTCATCAAATTATAGCTGCATTTGTGAATATTTCATATCTGATCAAAGATGCTTGGAGTGGGCTGGCCGCACAGCGTAACACACACACACACACACACACGTATAAAAAGACACATCTATGCTCCCAAACAGGCACACACGCCTCTCTTTCCCCTGAAACCCCCACTTCCCTACTCAGTATGTGGAATAGGCTCAGTGTGTAAGTCTTTAGAAATGATTGGGTCTTTAACCATTTTCACAAGTTTTAATCTGTGACGCTACAATCTTTCTGATTAAGACACATCTGTGCTTTAAAGGTTACTTTAGTTGTTGAGTCTCAGACTGTGTCAGCTCCATCAAAAAGTTCCCAGCTACACTGAAATAAAAAATGAAATAAATAAATATAAAAAAAAAACAAGGGCTCGGAGCTGGTCTCGGTTAGGTGCAGTACAGAGGTTTTGCCTTTTTTGTTTGGAGCGAGTTCAAAGAGGGGGTTCAAGGGTGTAAGAGATTTCGAAATGAACCTCGTCTGATTCTCTCCACTGTGAATGTTTCATGAAAGATTCTCGGCGGAGAGAGATTTAAAAGGTAAGAACTTTTATGAATCGACACCCATTTCTGCTGTGCGCTGTTATATTCAGGATTTTAAAAGGGGTTTTGTTTAACTTGTGCTTTTCAAATGTAAAGTCTGACTAATCCAAAAAAAATGTTATAAACACATAGTTGAAGTGGTTCACTGTAAAAATCTTAGACAATTGAGCGTCCGTATATATTATATATTACATGCATTTAACAGCATATTGACAGTTTCATTGTAAATAATGAAAGAAAATACTGAAATTGTGAATTTTTAGATCTAGAATATTTACAACTGTCACTGTTCGATGTATAATTATAGAAATCAGACCAAAATATTAGTCTTACTTAAGACTCCATTTTTCTTATTTTTTGTGATTTGAAGTTATTGATAAGGGATAAGGGTAGGGTGTGTGTGTGTGTGTGTGTGCATTTTGGCATTATTGATAGCAGTCAGTTGGAGTGTCCGCTGGCCTGGTGTGAGGCTGTTTGCAGCACTGGCTCCAGGGAACATGGACGCGAGCTCATTTCAACCTTGGCCCTGCTGCCTCTGCTGCTGCCGCCTGGATCATGAATAAAACATCTCTTTGACCTTTATCAGGAGTGTATTGGACAGTCCACCCCCGTCTCTGTCTTTCTCTCTGCCTGTCTCTCTCTCTCCCTCTCTCATTGTCCCTCATGTATACCCACAAACACCTCTTGTTTTTTCCTGCATTGTTTTCTCCTCTTTTAGACACTAATGATGCAGCGATCTCTTGTAATCACCAAAAAAAGGGAAAATATGTTTTTTAAATCTATTTACATAAACTTATTGTATTTGTGCATATACACAGTGCAGTGAGGGAAAAAAACACTAAACATGTTTTCTATATGTGTTGTTGAGTTCAGCACCCATAGTCTGGTCATTCAAATTAAGGGGTGCTGGAGCTTTGATGCCCTGGTGTAAGCCTACAGTGGCAGTCTGTTGTCAAGGATTTACACTAATTGTGTGTTTCTGTGTTAATAAGTCGTCCATCCCAGCAACACCAAAACCCAGACAAGAGCCTTCTACAACCCCCACTTTCCCCATCCCCTCAGGTCCAATCTGCTGACTGGCTTCTTTTACCTGTCTGTCGCCAGAGGCTGATGCTAAATGTCACTGACACTAAATCGCCTTTGTTAAGTCAAACCTATTTTAATTGTGTCACCAGTGATTTGCGCATTCTGTGCTGCAAATAAAGTGTATCAAGAAGAAGCAGGGGCTTCACATTTTCCTGTGAGATATATATATATACATATTATTTAATTTTTTTGAAAACACTGACGTGGAATAAAAAGTCTGACAAGCCCAGTGCCAGCTTGGGAGGATTGTGATGTCTACTGGCATTCCAGCAGTAATGCTGCATGACTGGAATGGGAATCAAATGTCTCCATGCTGGCACTCAACATATTGTTGGTCCCTTTGATTTAGTGTACAGCATCCAGGAAAATGTCATCGCATGTCTCCATTGTGCAGACTTGACATATCCATTTTGCAACTGTAAAATACAAAGAAAAACAAAAGCAAAATACCCGAGATGATGTCTTTATGCCACACGGACAGATTTACCATCATCCACTGCAGTTGCTTTTTGCAGGTGTCCCTCTTTTTTTCCTTTTAGCAGACATACCTAAGCATTTCCTGTCACTTTTTGCGATTCTTAAGCGTGTCTAAGTGATAGAGTCGATCCATTCACATTTATATAATGCCTTACGCATTTGCTCATTTGGGAGGCTTTAAAGATGGGCTATAGTTTGTCAACAATGCTTGAAATTAAATGGCAAATCAGCTCATTCCCAATTAGATGAGATGCAGTGAAATGTAGCAAAATATAATAAACGACGCGCATTCAGAGACTCCTGTCACACAATGGTGAGTCTTTTCGCTCCAACCAAGGCGGCGGTGGTGTAACCCACTCATTACAAAGCAGAGAGAAAGAGCTGCTCTGTGTAGACAGGTAATGGCAGCCATCACAGGTGCAGAGTTTTACACACACACACACACACACACACACACACAGGCACAGAAAAAAAGAGACCCTGATCACGATCTAAAATAGATGATTTTCTGTTTCGCTTTATGTCGACACAAAACAGCGTCGCAGCGACTTGATATTACACACTGATAAAGCTCGCAGGCTTACTCACAATGCAGCCAACCCAGTCTTCATGATACTGCATTGTTTACAGGTATTATTTCTTGCTTACTTAAGAGTTTGCAAATCCGATTAAAGCCAGATTAGCTCTATGTTTTGCATTGCTTTTATTTTAGCTGAGATCACTGCTTTGACAATTAAGTGCCTGTCCCATGTTAGTGTGGTGTGTTTGTGTGTGTGTGTGAGAAAGGGTTTTGTCTTGAACTCTGACTTCAGGAAGTCCCCGGTCTCCAACCAATGGTAAAAGGCCTCCCAGATTCCCCTTCTCTCCAGTGAGGTGGAATACTGCCGGCAGATTACCATATCATTACCATATCATTAGCATAACATTACCGCTGCACAGCTTGGCTCGCTGTCTTCGGACGTGCTATCAGCTCATCGAGAGATTCAATCCCCCAATCCGCTCCCTGCTTCCACCCTCCCCTCCTCTCTCCTCTCTCCCCCCCTCTCCCTCCCCTGCCTCTGTACACAGAGGTGTGTTTTCCATCTGAGTAAAGCAGATGTAATTGAGGTAGAGCACTGGATTTACCGGCTAAATGAAATCACACAAACGCTTCGCGATCAGCCGGGGCCGCTGTCGTACACATTCAGAGAGCTCCCTCTCCGAAACCTCGCAGTGCTGCACCCAATTCAGAATTTTCTAATATCCTCTCAGAAATAGCCTCAGTCAGATGCTAAGCTATGTCAAGCCTTACTCTGGCTGGATTACTCTAGGCTGTTATATTATGACCAGGTGAGTGTGTGTGCGTGTGTGTGTTGGGCCAAAAGGGAAAAAAAAAAGAAAAAAGGCCGACCTGCCACCATCTTCTACCTCGCCCCTTCCTCTCCCTTTTCTGTACCGTAGGGCACTCGGGGGCACCCAAAGGGACACCAATCCTCTAATGGTTGTGAGCAAGGGCCCATTCCATTAGTCAGGGGGCCCGGAGTTCATCGCTGCTCCTCAGCGCGAGGAGGGTGGAGGAAGCGAAATGGAAGCAGGTGTTGGCCGGGGGCAACACAGAGGGCAACTCAGCACCAGCTGCATGCTGGGAAACGCAGCCCCCCACCCCACCACTCATCTCCACTCCTTCTCCGCCTATTTCTATTTCCTCATCCAAGTACAGAGCGCACACCTTGTTCATACAGAGCACACACACACACACACACACACACACTGACTTCCTATCACCCGCTTTTGTCCCCCAATTTCATTCATTCCAGTAAGCTTTTCTCCATTTTCCTTATCTCTCTCTTTCTCTCTCTCAGCCTCACACACTCGTTCACTCACTCATTCACTCTCGCCTATCTCCATCTCTTTCATTTTCTCTCTCTCTCATCCTCTCTCTCTCTCTCCCCTTGCTTACCACCCAGCCCCTCCCCTCGCTCCATCTTCACACATACCTCACTCTGATTTGTAAATGGAGAGAGGACTTGTATGAGGAATATGTGGAGAAGATGTGCTTTCCATCCCAGCTGGGAAACTCTGGAGGGAGACGAGCGCAGAGAAGAAGAAAAAGAAGCAGAAGAAGAAGAAGTTGAAGAAGGAGGGGGCTGAAATTATGTTACCACCTCTGCTCTCTCTCTCTCTCTCTCTCGCTCTCTCTCTCTCTCTCTCTCTCTCGCTCTCTCTCTCTCTCTCTTTGTGTCTGTCGCTCTCTCTCTGTGGGCTTAGATGATGTATGGCTGCAAAGGCCACATGTTGGCCGTGTGATGGATTAAAGCACTTTGTAGGAAAATTACTAAGAGCGCCTCGGCACATCCGAGCCTAGCCCTTAATAAAACTCTCTTCAATATTGAAATGGAGAGAGAGAGAGGGAAATACAGAGAGATAAAGAAGATAAAGGACAGTGGTGGACGAGAGCGGGGAGTGGGGCGTGCCAGAAGCCCACAAACACCCTCACACACACAAGGCTCTTGTAGGTGATATGAAAAATTCAGAAATGTTGATAAAATTGCATGTTTTGAAGCTTTACCGTTCAATTTTACTTTGAGTTATTTGTTTTGTCTTTATCCATAAAAAGAGCTGAAAAAAGGCATAAATGAAAGCAGAGCAGATTTTATGAAGCGCTTGTTTTTTTACATGCTTTGCGGATGAACTTTCAGGACATGCTTTTCACTTACCGCTGCTGTGGAGAACACC